AAGGCAGTTGCTTAACCAACTGAGCCACCCAGGCGCCCAAGTTTTCCTTTGTGTGACAACTCCACCGGGTGTAGCTCGTACTCTACCTAGAATTCACCAAGGAGCGAACTCACCTGAGTTTGGTTACAACATCTCAATGGCAGGTGCTCAGGTTTTGCTGAAACCCCAAAGCTGATATATGGGAGGAAAGAACTATATATTTTGGTTCCCAAATTCTGTCTTATTAGATTCTGTGCTTTTTTTTTTTTAAGATTTTATTTATTTATTTGCGAGAGAATGAGAAACAGAGAGCACGAGAGGGAGGAGGGTCAGAGGGAGAAGCAGACTCCCCGCTGAGCAGGGAGCCAGATGCGGGACTCGATCCCAAGACTGCGGGATCATGAGCTGAGCTGAAGGCAGTCGCTTAACCGACTGAGCCACCCAGGTGCCCCTAGATTCTGTACTTTAAGAGCCAACCCATTTAGCACCCTGTTTCCTACCTCTGAACATCCTGTAGTTGCTCAAGTTTTTTTTTTTTTTTTTAAGATTTTATTTATTTGACAGAGAGAGAGAGCATGAGCAGGGGGGAGGAGCGAGGGGAGAGGGAGAAGCAGACTCCCCACTGAGCAGGGAACCCAGGAGGGACGTGGGACTCGAACCCAGGACTCTGGGATCAAGACCTGAGTTGAAGGCAGACACTTAACCAACTGAGCCACCCAGGCGCCCAGTTGCTCAAGTGTTAAAAAGTAAATACAAATATACATTGTGAAATGAATACCACAATCAGGCTAATGAACATATACCTCACCTCACATAGCTAAGATTTGCATGTGCGGTGAGAACACTTTTAAGATGCTCTCTCCTAGCAAATCTTAAGTATACAATACACTACTATTAATTATAGCCAGAGTGATGTGTATTAGGCCTGTAACTGACCTATTTAGCATCACTCCTAACTCAGGAAATGAACAGACAAGCTCTGGTACGCTGCCTTGGCCAAGTGCGCTGTCCAAGGGAATGAATCCCTAGGGGGCTGGACAAAATGAAAGGATAGCTCCTGGCTGGGTTTGCCCACACTGTTGCTGAAAAAACTCCTATAAACTCATCACAAGAGAAGCCAAGAACTCAAGAGACAAGGGATTGGAAAAGCGAAAGGGAGAAATTTATTTTGGGGAGAGAAGGTAGATTCAAGCCTTAATAACTGATTTCTCTACCAATAGGATGGACACCTAGTGTTTTATAGGGAGAGGTTCAGGGGGGCACATGCAAGAGAGCAGGCAGGGAGCACGTGATCCTGTATGGGGGTTGGTACGTGTTCAGTGCACAGTCATGAGCTGAGAAGGAGCAGAGATGGGGATGAGTTCTTGCAGGCATTCTGTTGCTATCAGGATTCTCTGGCCTGGCAACTGGAATGTTCTGGTCATTTTAAAACATCTTCAAGGCCTAAAAAAAGTGTGATAAAAAGTACAAATGAGGGGTTTCACAGCATGAGTTAAGTGGTCTTCTTGTCTATTTCTGGTTTTAACTGCTGGGGCCTGCGGTTGAGCAAGAGGGCTAGCTGACAGACCTTCAGTAATTATTTATCTTGCCCAAGTGCATCTTTTTACCATTTGACTAGCATCTCAACTGTTTCCCTCACCTTCAGCCCCTGACAACAAACATGCTAATCTTCACATTTATGATTTTAACTTTTTATTGATTCCACATATATGTGGATTATATGTGATTATGTACAGAACTGGTTTATTCCTGTGCATGGCTTATTTAACTTGGCAAGATGTCCTCTGAGTACATCCTGTTGCAAATGGAAATATTTCCTTCACTTCTGAGGCTGAAATAGGTATATACATACAACACACACACACATACATACACACATTACCTTTTTCTTTTCTTTAAGTAGGCTCCATGCCCAGCATGGAGGCCAATGCAGGGTTTGAACTCACAACACTGATCAAGACTCAAATGCTTAACCAACTGAGCCACTTTTTCTTTATTCATTTGGGAGAGAATATGTGATGTCAAAAATAAATCACTTTGCATGTGGACTGTTTTGAGTTGAAGGCAATTAGAACCCAGCATACTCAGGTTATGTTATTTTGCCTCTCATTTAACTGACAAAAGAAATTAGATAGGGGACCTCAATCTGGAAGAGAGCTAATACTAGAGATATATATATATATTTTTAAAGATTTTATTTATTTATTTGAGACAGAGAGAATGAGATACAGAGAGCATGAG